ATGCCATATATAGCAAAAACCAAAGATGGACAAATATCTAGAGGTCATTCCTAATCGTCTGGCTGCACCAGTGTGCCGGTGTTTGTTGACGAGGAGAGTTGCGGCAGCGTGGATTAGCATCGATTCTGCCGTGACCCTGCATGCAGACCAGGCTCCGTGTAGGGCCTTCGCATGCTCTGCGTATTGATCCTGCTCTAATTTCGGCACAGAGAGAGCGAGAGGGAGGTGACGGGGGAGGGAGAGAGCCTTGTTTGCTCGCAGACCGTTGCACTTCCTGCTAAAATAACCACCTGCCTACACACCAACCCAGGATGGAGATCAATATGGTGGGGGTGGGGGGGGTGGGGGGTGGAGGAGTAAAGTCGTTAGGTAATATGGATTGTATGATTAAATCCTATTTTCTATAGCCACGAATGTTACATAAAGCATTTATGTAAAGTCTCATGCAACTAAGATCATAGCTAAGATATTTATACCACAGTGCTGCTGAATTTTCAAATCCGATTGCTCAGAAGGTGTTGATTCATTTTCACTTTGTTGTTCCATATTACATTTTCCATTTTGTAACCGCAGTATTTGTCTGTACTACCTCCGTAAGGTACGTTCAGGCGATCATTCATTTTCTATGTAAGCGTGTGACGCGGAGCCGCGATTTCAGCAACAAGCGACAGAGCGGCAGTGAAGTGAAGTGACTTGTGGCCAAGTATGGTGACCCATACTCAGAATTTGTGCTCTGCATTTAACGCGCGCACATACACACACAGTAGTGAACACACACACCCTGTGAACACACACTCGGAGCAGTGGGCAGCCATTTTAGCTGCGGCGCCCAGGGAGCAGTTGGGGGATCGGTGCCTTGCTCAAGGGTCTCACCTCAGTCGTGGTATTGAGGGTGGAAGAGAGCACTGGTCATTCACTCCCCCCACCTACAATCCCTGCCGGACCTGAGACTCGAACCCACAACCTTCGGGTTCACCTTCGGGTTATAAGTCTGACTCTCGGACTCTTACGAAAAACATATTTCAGATCAGGAAAGCATGTAGTTTTCAGAACTAGATGTAAAATTTTCAAACTTTCACCAGGTGAAGGGTTTTCCCGGGCCTACACACGTTATAATGGAGCGTCTGAATTGCACGGCTGAATTAAAGACCAGGACTGAGAGGAAGTCTGTGAATCCTGAATAGGATTTTGAGCTGCCAGTTGAACGTTCTGGAAAGCTGTTTGATAGAGATTTGGTTGTCGAATACACGAAGAAGTGGTGTGTGTGAAGAGCGATGTGTGTCGTGCAGCTGCGTTTTATAGGTCAGAGAGAGACACTCAGCTCAATCCGTCCACACACACTTTAAATATGCATGGAGTCATGAGTCACGTAGGGAATGACGAGATGCTGACGAGAGCAAGGCGCTGCGATTTTCACTGGAATAAAGACTGGGGGAAAGAAAAGAAGGGCAAGAGAAACAGCGATGGAGAGATAGATAGAGAGAGAGAGTGGATTAGGTGACCTGCGGTCAGTAAACGAGGGCACATGTATTGATGCTCTGCAGCCAGCTTCTAGTAATCTCCGTCTCCGCCTCCTGGCTTTGAAATACGTATAGAACAGGAGCGGAGGATGCAATACAATGGAAAAGAGGGAGAAAATTAGGGAGAATGTTAGGCAGGAATTCACTGATCTTGGTGTCAGGCTGATATCGGCTGGAAATGTTAGTTCTGTATTTGACGCACATAATAACCTGTTTTTTTGTAAACAGATGATTTCCTTCAGATTTTTTCTCACATTTGAAGTAAATAATGGCCATCTAGGTGTCCTCAGGGCACCAGGTTTTAAACAGCTTTTAAATGATTAAAAGCAATAAAAATGAATTAATATAGTGGGAAAAAAAACAAGTATTGGCTCAGCATCAGGTATCAGTCAATAGTCAGAGATCTTGTGTTGGTACACATATACATTGCTGATATATAAGCCGTGTCTCAAACTCCAACACGTTCACCCTGAGAAACATGAAAAGAAATCTAGATAAAAAGCTATTTTCATGAACCAAAGACTGGTTAAAAATTTAGAACTGAGTTCAGATATATATAAATAGGTGTTTTCCCAAAATATATGTCAGATGAATTCTGGGCAAAACACACACACAAAAAAAAAAAATCACTTATTGACCACAATTGGGTTTTTCTGCCTATAACATAGTTTGCAATATATTTCCTCAAAACAATGGATAAATGGTTTTTTAAAACTTTCTAAATTCTCCTAGGCTTTCTGAAAAGATCATGTTAGGAAATTGAGGTTTCACAAACACGGCTGTTAAAACGTTCAGTCTGCCTAAAGATGGTTTAATTCCTAGCTTGCTAGCGAAGCGTGCTTTTCTCACGCAGTGAGCGTATTGATACAGCGAAATGGACAAACATATGTAAAAAAAATATATATATAAATACTACTTCTGAGTTTTTATGAATGCAGAAAAAAAAGAAAGATTTAGACAAAAGAAAAATCAGTGACTATTTCAGCACTAATGTACTAGTCAACACTGGATCTGCTGAATGAAGAGCAGCAATAAAGCTCCAGTTCGTCACTTGCCGTGATCGATGATTACCTCAGGATGATGAGACTTGAGCAAGGATATCCAAGGGTGGGTCAGGGCGCAGTGTTTCATTCTAGCCAATCAGGAGCCACAGCTGGTTCCACCTGGTTATCAGTTGATCAGGAAGTAGGTGTGTCTTGTGCTTGGCCACACTGGAGCTTCAAGATTGGACACCACTTGAGTTCAGAGCCTGACAGATATTAGGATATTAATATAGACCACTTGACTCTTTTTATATCCTGAGAAAAAGAGTTCGAATCTTTCGAAGTTCGGAGCCCTGCAGTCTCACTAAGATTCCTCAAAACCCCACTGACAAACTCCCAGCGGGCCATGTGCCAGCTCCCCTCACCCTTTGTGCCTATACGAGTAATGAACCCTTGTGACAGGAAACATGGGAGTGTGTTAAGTGAGGCTTAACGCAGTCTGCTCCTGGATGCTGAATGATCATAATTAATTTATCAGGGCCTGGCGTGATTGTGAGGCGCACTCCTAAAGCCTCTATTACCCTTGTACATACAAACCGCCCACAGCTGATTACAGCATGGTACAGCTTAATGTGGGAAATCACTATCTGGAAATGGAAGAGAGGTATAAAAAGGGTAAATAGAGGACATAATGGGTGAAATCTGTACAATTCAGGATTCACATTAACGTTTACGTGTGTTGGTTTTGGCAGATGCTTTTATCCAGAGCGGTTCACGAGTAAAGCTGACCCCGCCCCATCCACAGGGCACGAGGGTTCACTGAAAGGTTTGATGAGGATGAAAATGGTGGAAATCGTATGATATGGCCTTTACACTCAGGAGATTCCAACCCGGTCGAACACTTATGGGAGATTTTGGAGAGACTGATTAGTTAGCGCTCTCCACCACCATCATCAAAACACCAGCTGTCCTTTGGAAGAATGATATTCATCACGCAGTTCCAGAGACTTGTAGAATCTGTTGCCAGGCAAACTGAAGCTATTTAGGTAGGTCGTGGTGGCTCAACACCTCACTAATCCACTTTATGTTGGGTTTTCCTTTAATTTGTCACATATCTGTAGGTTTAAGAAATGTCAGATTGAGACGGCTAAATTTTCAGAGAAAAAGCTTTTTGAACACATCTTTTTGAAAATGACTATTGCTGTCATAAACAAGACGTCAAAGATAATATAACCAAAAAAGACAAATATTTAGGGGACAAAAAAATGGACCAGATGCACTAGGCTAGTCTAATATTTTCAGTCAAATGTGACCAACCACAGACCGTTTCCTGTAGCACGTCAGCATCCCATCAGTACCACTAACTGTTTCAAACCAACTTTACGTATTTTTAAAGCTGGGATTCCTTGAACATTTCCAGTCCAGTGACTATCCTACTCTAAAATGCTCGCTGTGTCACCCTGTTCAAATGTTTGTTTTCCTGCTGGAAACTAGTGTATGGAAGTGCGGAGATTAAAGATTCAGCATTAAAGATTCTGAAGCTTGTGGCCAGAAAAACAAAATAAAAGATGATCACTAACCCATGGGCAGAGCATCTAAGACTAAAAATAGACAAATAATGTTATCTTGTGGGACAAATGAAGTCAGGCCAGACTGGCCCAGTAATGGATCTCTTGTTAGTGGGCGCTCACTAATTTAGCTCTCGTAGTAATGATCTGAAATGCGATTACTCTGAGAGAGAACGTATGTTAAGTTGATGTTCAAAGTCTGCTGTGTGCAGTGAATTATCGGCAGTCAGGAAAACGTGTACGAATGAAATACAAAACACAAGGTAGCTAGCTAACTGGATTGCTGGATTACAAGTACACTATTATGAAGATTCAGTATTTTTTAAGGAGGCAAGAATTCTGTAAAATCCTCTTCAGCTCCCTGAAAATGTTATCAGTACAGCCCTGTGAGTACAACATTAATTTTGTTACATTGAAAATGCTTAAGGTTAACACTTAACCTGTTCTAATTTTACTCATAGCCGTCCTCTGACTGCTTTTGTTCAAATACAGTATAATAATCAATATTACATCTCTGTAATAAAGAGCTTTATGTTTGTGCCTTCCTCACACACAGGCTCTGCTGATCTCAGTCAGATTGTAACCCATGACATGTGTGTGTTTGGCGTCCCGCTGGTAGTGTTGCTGACTCTGAGCAGTGTTATGGCCACTGCTATAACCCCCACCTCACCTCATCCTCTGCCTGCTGCTCGCTGCAATGTGTCTCCTTCGAAAGTCTCTACAGTGTCCCGGCAGTGTGGCGCTGACAAACCGAAGCTGTTGTTCCTCTTTCAGCTGCTCCCACAGCGGATCATTGGGCCATGTATTTGATTTGGCACATATTTGATTTGGCACACGCCGGATGCCCTTCCTGACGCAGCCCTCCCCAATTTTATCTGGGCTTGGGACCGGCACTGAGAGCGCACTGTTGCATGCAACCCTGGGGTTGGTTCCCTGGTTGGGAATTGAACCCGGACTGCAACAGTGAGAGCGCTGTGGCCTAACCACTAGACATGCAGGGACTGCTGATAAGCTGAAGAAACTGCTTTTAAAATAAAAAAAAAAAGCTGACCAGTTACCACCCACTTCTTCGACTGACACCTTGTTTCCACAATCTCCAGTGTTAACACTTTTATTTTATAATATTGAATATTTTAACCATTTGTAATTAACATATACGCTCTAGTTTTATGTACAAATTATTTTATGTTGCATAACTCTAATTTTGTTATTTTTTTCTTTCCGCTGTATGCACCAGAATTAAATGAATTGAAAATTTTTTTAAACATTCAAACATTGGCTAACCATTTGCTAAAGTTAACTAAAGCTAGTTAGGGACTGTACAAAAACATAAATAGCTAGCTTCAGTAAATAATATATTACATGCAACTTACCGACTAGCACTACAAACCAGAAAAATCTGAATAAGGCAACTCAAAATGGCGGTTGCATCACGTAAATCCCGCCCCTTCAGTAAAAACAGCCAATCACCTTGTTGATTAAGGTGTTACCAGAAAACACGTGGCCTATCCGATTCTTACACGGACACATTTGCAGATATACAGCTTTGCTTTGTTAGTTATAGAGAAACACGCATTCTCTGCAACCTGAAAATTGTTTGTGTGTGTGTGTGTGTGTGAATTTAAGGCAAAGACCACACCATTTTGACTTTAACAGCCATTTGAAATCCATGTTTTAAAGGTCATGAAGGTCATTTTTGTTGATCCTCTTCTGGTAAATAGGTCTCTCTTCATCCAAGGAGATCTTGCATGGCGGGATGTCGATGTCAGCATGGCTGCCGAATGAGACTTTACTGGCTAAACATGCATAGCCAAACAGCTAGTTTGGTAGTACTACTATTAGACTCTGAATTAAATAGACATGGGTCGCTTTAGGATTGTGGGTAGTGTAGCACTTCTCCAGGACTTGTGGCTCCAGGAACATCGTTTAACAATTCTCGTGGAAATGTTATACATGCTGTTCACTAATTATATTTTTTACTTTCTGAGCCTTCTTGAGCTTATTTTTTTCTTCTTCCATACCTTCTTCTAAAATGAGTGGAAGTTGATCAATATGCAGAATTTTTTAATTCAGCCTTGAACGGAATGAAAGGTCTCAGAAATGGTTTTGGAATTTATTACTTATCCATACGCTTATCCATACGCATGTAGAATGCAACACAATATTGACCAAGGTGAGCTACATAAAGCGCGTTGTGTACACAAATTGGCCCTAAGGCTATAATGCAACATTCCCATCAGTGCCGGTCAAGGTCCTCAGCCTGTGTGCTCCATCCCCACAGCTCTCACATTATCTCACCTTCCTCACACTCCAACTGCAGCCTCACAGTCGAATTTTTGGCAATCAAATGGCATTAACCCTGGCAGGCAGACCCACATGTGTTATTGCACAGGCAGCTAGGAGCATGGAAGGAATTTTTATTTTAATATAGAAAGGTCAGATGGTATTAACCTGATATGACGATCTCATTAGCCTGATTGTAAAAATTGTATTCGTGTCATTTAGAGTGTGAAGGCTAGCAAGGCAGATTGATTTAGTCATTTGTGAATGTGAAGAGACATCTTGAATGGTGCTTTTGAGTCTTTTAGGATTTCAAGGGCCAATTAAAAGCACTTTTGAGAAGCTTTATCCAAAGAGCATGCTCCCTTTAAGACATTTCCTGTATTTTTTTTTAGAGCACTTCGTAAAGAGATAGAAGATTGACAAGGACTTGCTTCATGTTGAGTCATCACTGTACACCCCTACGCATACTCATTCGGCAGGCTGCACAATGGAAAGACATGTCTTAATCCTTTTCTTCTTCTTCTTCTTCTTCTTCTTCTTCTTCTTCTTCTTCTTCTTCTTCTTTTTCCTCTCTGCGCCAGACACACGGACACACGGAGGATGCCAAACGCAGCCAAAAATGACTAATAAGATGTGCTAATGTGCGATTGCACTGTGGGAATGCAACCCTGCTACTTAGCGTCTCGTGTCATTCATTGATTTTTCTCTGTGTTAACAATGCTGGGCGAAATATTCCTTTAAAAAATGTTAATCAAATTGGCAGCACAAGACAAAGAAACTAAGCCACAGAAGGAGAAGAAGACAGTTTACTCAGAGCATCCAGACGGAGCAGATGAAGACAAGAAGAGAAATAGTCTGACATAGCCAAGAGAGCGCTCGAGGCTCAGATTCAGAGCAAGCAGTTTACACCACACAATACAGAGCCATGCAGACAGAAGGGCAAGCTGTGGCACACACACACAGAATCTGAAAGCCGCTTCATCAGACAGACGGACAAATAGAGGAAAGAGTAGGACAGCTATTTAAAGATCTCCAGAAGTGTGTGGATTGAAAGAGTGTGTGTTTTAGTGGATGCTTGATGCAGCACAAAGCATCACTGGATGCCCCCCCCTTACTATCTTTCTTTTGTGTTATGTCTGATTGTAGTAAAGCAGCACTTTTCTCCAGAGAGGATTGGCACGATTTCCTTCGCCCCCCCATTTTAAGCGTGTTCATCTCTCCATGACCAAATAAAAAAAAAGAATTCCATCCCAAAGAAGACAAGTAATGTAGTCATTATTGTCCAAGCTAACTGCAATCTGAGCAAATTTCCATAAATTGTTTCACAATTTTGCATGTAGAAAAGATTTCTGTAATCTCTGTAATCAAATCAAATCAGACATTCTCATAAAGCAGCTTCACAGAAATCTGGATGTAGATTTAGGTCCCTCGTGAACAATCCAGAGATGGCAATGGCGAGGTAAAAACTCCCTGAGACAATGTGATGAAGAACCCTTGAGAAGAACCAGACTCAAAAAGAGAGAGAGAACAGATTGTTAGGAATGCTCTGATGATCATACAGTTGTTCTACAGTGTGAGTATATAGAGTATATAGTGTAAACATTTTTGTTATTTCCTGGTACAGTTAAATTTATTAGTTGTGAAACCGATTCACCAGAATTAATCAATTTCACTGTGATTTGTACTTGGTAAACAGACTACTATGAGAAAATGTGCCCTAAAACACTTGCTCTCTGCCTGATTAGTGCGTTTTCCATTATTTCCAATACGATTCAGTCATATATTTTTTGAAGGAACAGGCAAGCTTCAGCTCGCTTGGGCAAAGAGATTAAAGTTCCAGGAATACCTGTAATAGCCCTATTAGTTTTACATAGTCTCAGGTGGACAATGTGAGAAAAGACAAAGCAAAACTAATAGGAAGAGCACAATTAGTGTTCTCAAATTGACAAAAATCTCTAAAGCCATTTCTGCAGACGTGAATAAATGGAGTGCTTTGCAGTCATTTAATTTCTATGCCATATTTCTATTGTCAGAATACTTTAGGCCAAGCCAGTAGGATCAATTTTTCTCCATAAAATAGTCCTGGTTCTCTCTTCATTGCTGTCAGACACAAAAAAGGTGAACACAATAGGGCAACAAACGAATAACAGGAAAGGGGCTGAAACAGGGTCATACACAACGCAAAGATGGAAACCATGACACTTGGCTAGTCTTCCTCTTTTTTAAAATTTTTCTAACCTTCCTGTTTCAAATCCACTGCTTCCTCCTAGACTATTCTCACTTCCTCTGCTAAATTTCAGCTATTTAGTTCAGGAGTGCTAAATGAATTGTACTAGAGTATGTGTACCATATACTTCTCTTCTCTTACCACCTCTTCTATCTCTTCCCTCATTAGAACTTGTACCAGAACCGCTTTCTCGGGCTGGCGGCCATGGCCTCACCGTCTCGCTCGTCCCAGGCCCGGCGCCGGAGCAAAGACCCTATCCGGCACAGCTTCAACCCAGAGCACTTCCCCAGTGTGGACTTCCAGAACGGCGAGCACGAGGAGCTGGCAGCCGCCCTGCCGCGTTCCACCAGCGATACGGACCTGGTGACATCACACTGCCGCTCCACACTGACCACCAGCACGTCAAACTATGCCATCGGCCAGTCTCCGGACATCACACTCACATGGGACATCAAGGAGGAGGTGGATGCTGGAGACTGGATTGGAATGTATCTCATTGGTGAGTGATGAGAACTGAAAAGGTGTGAAGAAAGCAGCCTGGATCTGGCTGTCTATAAGGAACAGTAAATCTGTTCTCTCTCTCTCTCTCTCTTGTATAGCTCTGTAATCCCTCAACCTTCTATCACACTGTCTCACTGTTTCTTAGGGCCTGTGTGAGCGACTGAGATTGGATTGAATCTGATACAAACACAAATCCATTAATCATTTGTTGTCACATTTCTAGCCAACACAGACTGCAGCAACTGGCTGTATTATAAATACAAATGAATTGTTTGCTGAAATAAATGTGCTTGGAATTAGGGACCCACATCATCATTACATCAGTTTGTTTCCCTCAGAGATGTATGGTATGTTGATATGGATTATTTTCTCTTTTTCAGATGAGGTGCTGTCAGAGAACTTTCTGGACTATAAGAACCGTGGGGTGAATGGCTCTCACAAAGGCCAGATCGTGTGGAAGATTGAAGCCAATTCCTACTTTGTTGAGCGTAAGTGAATTGTCTCACACACACAAACACACACAGACACACCCACACACATGCACACATGCACACAGTATGTATTTTACAAGAGGCCTATTTTTGAGGCCTACTTTTGAGTCTTACTTTGACTAAAGCGGCATGTTTATGCTGCACAGTCGCCATCATCAGCACAACTTGGAGCCTTGGAGCTGACAGATTTGCCTTTGGATCAGTATCTTTCATTCTACAATCTTCACAGTGAAATAATTCACATGCAACACATCAGAGCCTCTAAACATCATTGAGGCAACAGTGTGACATGCAGGCCTGTGTAAGGATGATAAGCGTTCGATCTCGATGCGCTATTACCAAAGCATGAAGACCGCAGGACATTACTATGTTCTACATAGCTGCCATGGTAACAAACACACCATGTCCACTCACACAGCTTGCTCTGAGCAGTCGACTCTGAGTACTGAGTGCTATAATACACTTGAGTGTGACTGGCTTTTTTTTAACACCTGTCTCA